TTAGTTAATCGTTACATTGCGTCATTAAGCGTCCATGATTTAAAAGGCATTTGCTATTTTTTTTGTCCATATTTATGCTAATGATTGATTCATTAATAAAGAAATAACCTTTGATTCCAGCCATAGTTTACATTCCAGTGTCCATGTATATTCCAGTTATGCAAGCATAAAATTCTGTATAATTTGCGTCACAATGTTACCACATATTTTTCCCCCAAAAATATTAATTGCGTAGAAAATTTGTGCAAGCATATTATTGGGAAAAGTATAAGAGCCCCATTTGAAAGTTTTGTACCTTTGGAAATGGCAAATATTTGCTGTTAACAAAGTACCTGTTTACTTTTCTAATATTGGCAGATATAGCCTGAAATTAGCAAAACACCCTTTTATTAAAATGAGCCGCGTCATGACAAAACCAACGTAATGCGTTTGCGACCAGCATGGATCCAGACCAGCCTGCGCATCTGCCCAGTCTGATCAGGATCCCTGCTGTTCGCTATCAGTTTCTCTACTGCGAACAGCATGGATCCTGATCAGACTGGGCGTATGCGCTGGCTGGTCTGGATCCATGCTGGTTGCAAACCCATAATGGTGGTTTTGTTATGATGCGGCTCATATTAAGTCATTGCAGCTGCCATTAGCAGTGAAACATTATGTTACCTAATCAACCAACCTGATAATGAAGTGAATTTTATATTCTTAGTGATTTAAAGGTTGTTGTTATTTTTAAATTTCAAAAAATGTTGGTCTTATTCATTTTTTAATTTATAACGAAATATACCAGTATCACTTAAAATCTGGACAAATACATCATTATTAGGGAAAAAATTTCAAAAATACATTTTGACTGAACAGCAAACATAGCAGGACAGAGTGATCTTTGTGTTGTTTCTTCATGGTAGAAGAGCTTTCTAAATTGTTAATATAAGGTTTATTTAGAGTCTATCCATGTGCATTATGCTTGACTTAAAGGGAAAAGGGCCCCTGCTAAGCTGAAGCCCCAGCTAAGGGCTCTTCTTCTGAATACCAATACTATGTACCAATGCATATAGCAATTCATACCTCACAACTCATTCATGCATGTTTTCCAAACCTATTATCATGTAAATTCTAATTTTTGTACACTTTTACATAATACATGTACATGTTAAAAAGATCAGGCTTCAATGGTTTTATAAGGTTTTCGCTTACAATGACATAGACAAAAACTGCGTCAAGTTTTCATAAGAAAGAAAAAACCAGTCCAACGTTTTTCCTGACCGAGTAAATATAAGTTTTATTCAGATGCATTGAGCACTTTCACAATTAATACTTCAGATCAATAGAAATTAAGACTCTTTACATTTCTACAGGTAGCATTATGTCGGTTTCTTTAAAATTCCTGATCAAATATTGAATGAAATTTCTTTGTTTGAATTAATACATAATAGCATGAAAAAACCTAGATTTTGTCCTTTAGCTAACTTGAGCTTACTTGAGCTTGAAAAGGTTAAGTATTTATGCAACAAAGTTGTCCTTATATTTATTGGACTGGATGTAGGTTTGTGATATATTTCTTTGAAGTACTTTGTAAACCCTTACCTTGTGGAATTTGTATAATGCAAAACTAGTTTGTAGTACCAGGACTCCTGGAAATGAGGGCAGATAGATGAGGGGTTTAGCTCAGTTTATGTCTGTATGTTCTTGTTCTGAAAGAATTAATACAGTTTCAACACCTTATGTCCCGATTCCAATGGATTTAGCTCAGTTTCATATCCATATGTACTTATTCTGATGGATTTAGCTCAGTTTCACCTAAATATGTTCTCTTTCTGAGGGATTTAGCTCAGTTTCACCTCAATATTTTCTCTTTTTGAGGGATTTAGCTCAGTTTCACCTCAATATTTTCTCTTTCTAAGGGATTTAGCTCAATTTCACTTTCATGTGTCCTCATTTTAAGGGATTTAGCTCAGTTCACCTCAATATTTTCTCTTTCTGAGGGACCGCCTCCGTGGTCGAGGGGTTAGAGTCGATGACTTCTAATCCAGTTACCTCTCTGGCGTGGGTTCGATCCCCGGGAGATGCTTTGGTAGTTTAGCGCGGAGGAAGGTAGTTTAGTACTGGTGTAACTCTCCAGGAACGATGGTTAGGAAACTACCCGCCTATATGACTGAAATACTGTTGAAAAAGGCGTAAAATGAAACAAACAAACAAACAAACTTTCTGAGGGATTTAGCTCAATTTCACTTTCATGTGTCCTCATTCTAAGGGATTTAGCTCAGTTCACCTCAATATGTTCTCATTCTGAGGGATATAGCTCAGTTTCACTTCATACATGTATGTCCTCATTTTGAGTGATTTATTTTAGTTTCACCTACATAATTGTCCTCATTCTGTCAGGTCAATGCAGTGTTTTTGTTGAAAGGGAATAGCAAAGAATGTTACTATCTGACAGTTTCTGAGCAGGGTGGGACCTTTGGGATGAACATATTCCATGCTTATGGCTGCTTGATCTAAGTTATTTGATAAACAGGCTGTTCCAGAGTAAAAGAAGGTCTAGTCTTATGCATAAATCCAGTGGGTTAATTTAATTCTACTTAAGAAACTTGACAGAGTAGGACAAAGGGAGAAATCAGATGGAAATCAAATGATTTATTATTTATAAGTGATGTAAGTTCATGTGTTCAAGGTAACTTTTGCTATTTATCAACTCCAGAATAATTGATTTATTTTATTGTAGGTCTTATGAAAATTAGATAAAGCCAAGTAGCTAATGGGACATTCAACTTCTAAGAAAATGTGCATGCTTGTACAATATTCAGTGCTTCTCTGAAATTCCTTTTGGCATTTTCTGAAAGCATTAAGTCATTACATGAAAGCATTTTAGGCATTATATAATAGCATTTTGGCATTGAGCCATTATCTAAAAGCATTTGGGCATTATATAATAGCATTTTGGCATTGAGCCATTATTTAAAAGCATTTGGGCATTATATAATAGCATTTTGGCATTAAACCATTACTAGTATCTAAAAGCATTTGGGCATTATATAATAGCATTTTGGCATTGAGCCATTATCTGAAAGCATTAAGGCATTATCTGAAAGCATTAAGGCATTATCTAATAGCATTTGGGCATTAAGGCATTATCTGAAAGCATTAAGGCATTATATAATAGCATTTGGGCATTAGGCATTATCTGAAAGCATTAAGCCATTATCTGAAAGCATTAAGGCATTATCTAATAGCATTTGGGCATTAAGGCATTATCTGAAAGCATTAAGGCATTACATGAAAGCATTTAGGCAATATCTGAAAGCATTAAGGCATTATATGATAGCATTTGGGCATTAAGGTATTATCTGAAAGCATTAAGGCATTATATGATAGCATTTGGGCATCGTATGAAATTATTTAGGCATTATAATTAGGTATTGATAGGAAACATTAATTTTATGCATTACGATATAAGACTGAAAGCATTTTAGCATTGTTTAACAGCATTTAAGCCTTATCTGAAAGCATTTTGGTTTGAGTTAAATCCATAATTTAGTCTTTAAACTTGATAGAAGTCTAGAAAATTAAGGTCAAATATGTTCATACTGCTGGCATGTGAGATAACCCTATAGGACTTTGGTTGTATCCTATAAAAAGATCATGGGTCTGAAAAGCTTATCATAAATTTTATCAACAGTCATGTTGGTCATCATAAACCAACTGACCCTTCTTTACTTTGTTCCCTTCATATATTGATGTGAGATTCTTTCAGTTAAATAATTATTATAGTTTTGACAATGTACTTAAATATGTTAAGTATATTGAGTTTAATGCCCCTTTTATGTTGAGAAATTTTGATCATTTTTGCATGTCAGAGGTCAATGTTATATGGCCTGGCTCTATACTGATGACAAAGGTTAATCACTAAGTTCCGGCAAGTTATGGGTTATTGTAAGATCTATATAATTATAGATTTTTCCAGGTTATACAAGGGGTATGATGTGTAAAATATACTAGAATTTGAGATATTGATTTTAAATTCTTACACTGCTTGGAAGAATTAATAATAAATAAACCCAGAAAAATTCATGTTAGTAGCTTTTTATTTTACAACAATATTGTATTTTACAAAAACAAATGAGCCGTGCCATGACGAAACCAACATAATGGGTTTGCGACCAGCATGGATCCAGACCAGCCTGCGCATCCGCGCAGTCTGATCAGGATCCATGCTGTTCCCTACCAGTTTCTCTACTTATTAAAGGGTTTGTAAGCGAATAGCATGGATCCAGACCAGACTGCACGGATGCGCAGGATGGTCTGTATCCATGCTGGTCGCAAACGCACTACGTTGGTTTTGTCATGGCGTGGCTCAAATGTCTGTGACAGCAGCACACTCCGACCAGTCTCACCAGTCTCTTATACTGTTAATAGCTCAATAGACTTACGCTGAAATAAAGAATATGTTGGGTTTTTCCCAGCTAATCCGGGGGGTACAAACAAACTTTAACAGTTACAGCTACGAAAATAAGCACAGGTTGACTAATCTATTACTGTGAAGCTATAACGGTAAAAGTTTGTTTGTACTGCGGCATCAGCATGGAAAAAAACACATTTGCCGAGTTCCAGATAACATCTATTATTGTATTTGATATTAAAATCCCTTAAACATTGAATGGACTGTTGCTCGGCAAAGCCATAACAAAAATTTAGCCAATCATTAGGAGAATAATTGTATATTGCTATTTTTGCCCATCGAGCAATTTGATAAATGATAAACGTGCATGAATTAATGTATGAATGATGCAATATTTAATACATGTAATATGATATTGTTTGTTTTGTTGGTTTTATCAGTATTTTAGGCATAATACACAGTTGTGAAGTGAGCTGTAGAGCATTTATAAACCTTTAACTAGCTGGTGGCAAGCAATTTGTGCAGACCAAGATCAGCCGGCATATCTTTGTGTCCTACCTGAATATAAAAAAAAAGCAAATCTGAGCTATCTGATCATTAAAAATATAAATTGTATTTTGTTCAGTTTCTTCTTAAAGAATTTATAGAGATAATGTTTTAATCATTGAATGCGGCATGCATTTTGAGACAGTTCAATGTGTGTTGCCTGTAGCAAGTAGACTGAGAGTTGCTCCCCTTGAGAAATCAATATAGCCATGATACACCTATTTGATATATCTAGTGCAGGTAAACATATAGTTTGTTATATCTTGCCAGTTTTCCTACAGGCAACATGTATTGGGAGTTTCATTACTCAACAGTTATACACAATTACCACAGTTTGATTTAAAGTAGAATATTAACAGAGTAACAAAATGCTTGGTTGTATTTATACTGTGTGAACCTAGGAGTAAGTGGGGCGTACTGTTCTGCCAAGTTATTATTTAAGTAATTTAATGTAATTGTGGTGTTTTTAAGTTACTAAGGACAGGCAGATTTATCAGGTCACGGGTAACTTATTGACAAGGTATGATGTTGCAAGGTAATATAACTGCAGAACAGGATTACGTGACGTTAACAAGATAACACAAAAGTTAGATTTTATGTTGGTGAATTGTGGTAATAGGAAATTGTGTGGAGTAAATTTTCATATTCATAATTATAAATAACTTTACATCTGGTGTACAGTACGGTTTAAATATTGGCGAAACGTGTTGTTGTGTAAAGTGTGTTGGGAGATGTATTGATAGTGGGAATTTGTTTTCCTCTGTAAGTCTTAAGGAAAATGGAAAATTCGATGGAATGGTTGTCCAATGATGTGTGCGAGGGGTTTGCCAATTGTGGCATTAGTGTTGATGGTGGTAGTAATGATGTTACGCAGTCTTTCTCTGACAAAACACAAACAAACGTGAAAACTAATTTGTATGAAAGTGCCGGACATGATAGGGATTTTCCGAATTCTGATTTCTCTGGGAATGGGATAATTTGTGGTGATCAGATGAAAGCGGGGCAGTGTAATTTTGATTACGGCTCTAAAGCTGTAGACTCCGACCAGACGAGACTCTCTCAAGGTCTTATTTCCAAGCCGAAATATGAAGTTGCTGATTCAAGTATGGCTGAACTGTCAAATGTAAGTGAAATAATTCTTAATTATTATGTTTGATCAAATATTGTAAAAAAAAAACAAAAAACAACAACAAAAAAACAACTAAAAAAAAAAAACTAACAAAAACAACAATTAGATCAAATACATATGAGATAAATGCAATTACATTTATTATCAGAATGAAAAACATAAGTTCATCGAAAGTTTATACTTGGGATACAAATTAACAATGAAAAACACTAACATATCACAGAAATAAATGTATATGGAAAGGAAAAAAACAACATGAAAACACACAAAAAAACCCAGCAAATACTGAAAATAATAAACTCAAAGCACAAAATTTCATTAAAAAGAAAAAAAAATATACAGATAACAAAATCAGGCAATCAAGTTAATATTGATTATTAAGATATTTGAAGCTTTCTACAAAATGAATATTAAATTATTGCCCAGGATCTGAGTTATTACAGATTTTATGGGACCATATTACAGATTTTATGGGACTGAGTTACATATTTTATGGGACTGAGTTACAGATTTTATGGGACCACCGGTACATATTTTATGGGACTGCTAACAAGAGAAAGATCTAAGATCCTCCATGTTTAATTCTGCCTTAACAAGATCAACTTTGTTTTAATAATCAATTCAAGCCTGGTTTTAAGGTCACATGCTATATTATCTGTGTATGCAGTTAAGATTTATCTTATACACTTAATGGTAAGAAGTTACCATTTGTCAAGGTCTGTTTGGTCTAGATTATAAACAGTGTATATGTCACTGACGTAAGAAGTGTAGTTAAGAAAGGCTGTTTAAAATCATACAGAGCTGTTTGTACATAATTTTCTTTCGCTTCACTACATTCAAATCCTACAACAAAAAAACTACCAGGGCATAATTAAAGCCATTTGAATATTATGGCAAAAACACATTTGATCACGTTTATTTTCCAGTTTTAATTTGTCATAGGTTTTAATTTTTGAAAACAAGAAAATATTAACAAATGTGTTAACTTGCTGAATGGTTTAAAATTGGAATTATTTACAGACCTTTGGTATTTCTGGTTAACCAGTTAAATCTGACATGACTAGCAGAGCACAACTCAAGGTCCCTGTTAAATGAAAAAAAATTAACCAAAAAAACCCCAACATATACCAACATATACCATAAACAAACAAAATCAAAGGGTATACATGTAGCTTGACACCCAACACCACCCAGCCCCTGGAGCCTGCTACAATCCTGAAAAAAAAATTCATCACTCTACTTAGGCTTACTATATTAGATACCAAATACAAAACCATCAATAATTTATATGAAAAAACATTTCCACTATCAAAATTATAGTTATAGAAAGGTGGAAAGCCTACTATATACTCATTTGCCAAACAATGTGGAACACAGGAAATCGTCATTCAGTAACTCGAGCGCATTCCGGTGGCATATTGCTGCATCATTCATTAAGATCAGTAAAAAGAACTAGAATTCCACAGCTCACCTAATTCAAGTCCAACATATATCAATATTCTATCAATTTTTTTCTGTTTCACAGTATTTTTTTTTACTTGTCAAAGTCATTTTGTAGTCTGATACCTGCGTTACCCGATCTGATTGGACGTCCAATTTGGATCGTGAGTTTTTTAAAGTTGAAATAATAGTATAAGAGCATGATACAAGCTTATTACCTGAAGAAATTAGCCCTGAATGCGTAATTATTTGTCACAAAAGTAGCAAGATGTAAACAAAGTAGTATTTTGACTTCCATACAAAATACTAAATCAATATAACCGTAATAATTACTACATGTAAAAGGCGACAGAAGCTAAAGATAGCTTTAGTTAATTGGCCGATAAGTAACTTTTTGAAATCAAAGCACAGAAGGCGCTGAATTTGTTTGGGTCTCAGAATGTAAGAAAGGTGCAGGTTGTGAGATTATATGTATAGTGCCACCAATGCTTTCCAGCGTTTTAATTGAAGTAAATTGGCTATAAGACTAATTGCAACACTGATATTCAATCCAATGTTTATTTGACTTTAACAATTTGAAAAAAAAGAGTTACCTTTACTGGGATTTGAACTCCAGACCTCTCGCTTCCTAAGCGAGCCCGAAAACCCTTCAGCCACGGTGAATTTATATGTGAACAGGCTGAAGAAAACCATATTATTCTAAATTAGGGCTTGTAACGACTTTAACTGTTGTTTAACACAGATGTAAATAATCCTGGAGCTTACTATAAGCATTTATATTTATAAAGAATCAAAGGGCTGCAAGTTCTGTGGTATTTTCTGATCTTTGCAATCTAAATCGTACTGTATATCTGTATGCATTTTCCTGTATAAGTTTATTTTTATGTATTATAATTCATTTTGCAAGGCACCAGAGTTTGATACATACGGAATTCTGCATAACTAGAGTTGCATCAAAAAATCATTTATGTTCATTTTTTACGACAGTCACACTTTATCCTTGCATATCATGGCTACTTCCTTAACAAAAACACTTAAAAAAGAATTTAACACAAAAAAAAGTTTCCTGGACTGGGATTCGAACTCGAGACCTCTCACTCACAAAGCGAGCGCGTTACCACTGTACCACGGAGAAGTTATACGCAGCCAGTCTGAATAATATCAAGTCATTCTAAATTTAGAACTTCCATTGCATTTCGGGTTTGTAATCCTTATTAATTTCGAGGTATTTTGTTCAGGGTAAACCTGTTGTTTAAAATTGAAGAAAATATTTTAGCGAAAATCCTCTCGCCCAAACAGTCCGACATGTAGAATCTATATATTCCACTACTCGGTTTGTGTAGTATTCGGTAATAAATAGTATTTTCATTGATAAAATCATATTCATCCGCGTAATTTGTGATTGTGCATTTATTGACAATTCTATAAGCCAACGCTATTGTTTAACTTTAAATGCGTTGTAATTTGTTGGATACTTGTAACAAAATAAAATATTTCTTTCTTTTAAGTCGCTAGTTTTAAGCTGTTTTGAGAACTACTTGTTGTTAGGTTTGTCGTAAACTTCTGTGTCAGAGATTGAATGTCCGCTTTGTATTTAGTTATTTTCGATCAGAAAATACAATAAAACAATATTAGAAATCTTCGACCATTCGGGAATTACTTTGCTTGAAAATTGATGCGCCTGTCTTTGACCATCTTTACGCAGTGATCTCCCCTGAATTTTTCGGCTTTAGTGTACATACAAAAGGGAAGTAACCGCTTCAAAAAAGTGGACTACTTTCGGCATTTGCAATTAACAACATTAGACTCTGAAATTTCGCTACCATTATTTGTTTGGTCTGACGACCCAAACAAATAAAAATTAAAATAGGACACAAAATTTGAAAGATTTAAGATTAACGCATAATGGGCCTTTAAAGCATGGACAGTCTATTATACATGTACAAATCAATGGATAAAGTATTTATTACATAAAAAATAGACAGGGAATATTGATTTTTCTCTTCATTAATATATATTTAGAAAGTGTCACCTTTTATATACACTTGTACACTTGTGTATAATTTTGCTAATTTACTTGGCACCTCATAGAAATGATATACAGTTAAACTTCGTTCGCTCGAACTCGGATCGCTCGAATACCTCCCTTCGCTCGAACTCATCGCCCAGTCCCGGCAAAATTCCTATATAATATATACTGTTCTACCTCGGATCGCTCGAACACCCATCGCTCGAACTCTCGAACCTGATCTCCGGTCCCTTCGGCAGAAATATAGTGTAAATCACACCTTTTCGGTCGAACTCAAACAGACAACAAAAGTTGCGGGTCGACATGTTCTAAATAATTAACAGTCGGCGACACATATTTTTAACACCTCGTGATCGTGATTAATTGATACAAAATAAAAGGTGTTTTACCGATTTGTTTGTTATGATACAATTGTTTATTTGCAGTCTTTAGTAACGATAAAAAGAAAGTAACTCCTGAAATGCCCAAAGTAAATAAATAAGTAAATGACGTTTACCCGGACGGCTTTAATTACAACCGTGGTTCATGTAACGTGAATTGTAACAGTGTAATCTATTTATAGAATGATACTTGTACGTGTGTTTATTTTAGTAAATGACTACAAATAGATGCTGCTGTAAAATGTTGTTTTTTAATATTTTATCGATTCATTGTTTAAAATAAAATTCATCCCATAATAAACTTGAACACTGTTCACAGTTTAGATAATGATCGCCCGATCGAACTCAACCAATTACAATATGCATGAATATAGATTAACACCGTGCACCGTTAATAGTGTTTTCAATAGGATAATAATTCTTAATATGACGTATTCGACAAACAGATGTACTAAAGACGTATTTATCATTTGACCGATATAAGCTGGAAAACCTTAAGCCTATGTTCTATGTAATTATTGTTCAACCTCGGTTCGCTCGAACTACCAATCGCTCGAACAAATTTGCACGGGCCCTCCGAGTTCGAGCGAACGAAGTTCGACTGTATGCAAATTAGGGATGGATATAGAACTTGAAACATTCACTGATTAAGGGAATGTTTGTTTTTGTCGTTTTCTTTTTTGTTATTTTTCTTTTATGTCCAAATTTACAAGGAGAAGGCTCATAGATTTTCCTTTGTGACTGTCTGCCTGTCTGTCTGTCTCTCTGTCCATCTTTAAACTGACAAAACAGCAGAATGTGCGGGGCAAACCTATGGACATGTTTCAAGTTGTCATTATCTTAAATGACTACTAAGAGTCAACTTCTTACCCCTTTTGAATGGTAAAAGTAATGTTTAAGTACTATAACAATTGTTACTTTCTGTCTTCACCAGCAGACTAAACCTATTAGGGCTGCCTAATTGTCACTGATTTGGATTTCAAATCCCTTGATTGAACCTGCTGAATTTCACTTCTAATTTTGAAACAATCCATTTTCAATTTCTGGGATGTCATAATGAAAATTTTAAGATGGTAAGACAACAGTAAAGGGCCTGGTCAGACTGAATGGATGTTCACTCCCCTGAGATATACTGGTAGCAAAGG